AGACTCTTGAAGCACTGTAGCTCATCAATGGCTGACGTGAGGGCGTGGGCCTGTGCTTCTCTTTATCTACTGATGAGACAAAACTATGAGATTGGACAAGTGAGGGCTGATATTGTGCAAATGTATCTACATACAGTACATGTACATGTACTTTTTGATTGGTTATTGTAAAAAATGAAGGATTAAACTCGTGTAATTTTTAGTTTTAATTTTTGTATTTTTTCTAGAATTTTGCTCGAGTTAAAGTTCAAGTTACGGTTGCTCTCTCTTCCATTGTTGCTGGTTCCACGGTAAAGGAATGAGTATGAGAGTTTGGGAATGGAATAATAAGAGAATGGGAATGGAATATTACCTTATAATATTAAGAGAACAATAATGAGTATTACTGGTATGTTTTTTCTTTTTTTAGAAATCGTTCAATGAGCATCATTTGCGTCGATCATTAAAGACACTGATACTGTATGCTGAAGGAGATGATGATATGTATCAGACTAGCTTCCCTGAACAAGTAAACAACAACAACAACAACAACAACAACAATAATAATAATAATAATAATAATAATAATAATAATAATAATAATAATAATAATAAGAATCATAATGATAATGATAATAATATTGATGCTAATATTTCTTTCATTAGGTGAAGGAGCTTGCTATTAATCTTCATCGTATTCTGTTGGATACTGTTAAAATGAAGTCATTCCAAAACGTACGAATGTACATGTACATGTATATCTAATATATTTAATATTTAAAATGTCTCTTTTCTCTCTTCTCTGACAGGATCATGAGATGTTAATGGATCTGATGTACAGAATATCCAAAGGGTAAGAGAGAGAGAAGAGGAGGGATTCATGTACATGTACATGTACATATAAAATTATTTCTTTCTCTTATAGTTATCAAACTTCTCCTGATCTTCGTCTCACGTGGCTACAGAACATGGCCAAGCAGCACAACGAGGTACTCCCCTTAATTTAACCCTCTCTATTTAATGCCCACCCACAGAAAGATCACTATACTGAGTCAGCAATGTGTCTCACCCATGCAGCTGCTCTAGTGGCGGAGTACCTGTATATGTTAGACGGGTCACAACACCTTCCGGTCGGCTGCGTCACGTTTCAAAAAATATCACCAAACATGTTAGAGGAGAGTGCAATATCTGATGATGTCATTAATCCAGTGAGGGAGCCACACCCACTAATTAATATTCATGTGACACCTGCTAATTAATATTCATGTGACACACCCACTAATTAATATTCGTGTGACACACCCACTAATTAATATTCATTATAGGACGAGGAAGGTATTGCTACCAGTAGATTATTCACTGAGTCTGGACTCATTGGACTATTAGAACAAGCAGCTCCAATGTTTAGAGAAGTACGTATCATGCGACCGTCACATGACAATAAAGAATACATGTACATGTACATATTCATTACCTTTTCTCTCTCTCTCTTAGTCTCAGTTATATGAAGCAGCTGCTGAGATATATAAGTTAGTTATTCCGCTGTACGAGCACAGGAGAAAGAACCACAGTTTAGAGTCGGTTTATAACAAGCTCTCGGACTGTTACAAGAGCTTGGCAAAGAAAGGGGACAGGAGGTTCCTTGGGAGTTACTTCAGGGTCGGGTTTTATGGTTTCTGGTTCGGAGACCTTCACATGAAAGAGTTTATATACAAAGAGGAGGCTCTAATGAAACTGAGCGAATTCTCTTTAAAACTAGAGGTATTGCAGCTGCAATGTACATTGTACATGTACATGTACATGTACATTTATGATTGTTAAAAAATGTTAAAATTTAATCAAATTATGTTCATTTTCTGTTTCAAATTTTAGAAGTTTTATAGCTAATATTATAATCATTTCCTCTTTTTTTTTCTTAGAACCTTTACAGCGAGCAGTTAGGTTCTGAAAAGGTTGAGATCATCAAAGACTCAAACGAGGTCGACACTTCAAAACTTGATGGAGGAAAGGCCTACATACAGGTGACATATGTAGAGCCGTATTTCGAGGACTGGGAACTTAAGAAGAGACTAACAGTATTTGACAAATCATTCAACATCAGTAAGCCATGATACTATTAATAGCACATGCATTCTATAATTAGTAACAGTGTAATGTTACTATAAATAGCATTAAATCTATTATTAGTAACACTGTTCTATTTTAACAGTAATGTTACTATATATAGCATTGAGTCTATAATTAGTAACAATGTTCTATTTTTAGGACGTTTCTCCTTCAGTACCCCATTCACACCAGGTGGTAAAGCTCATGGTGAACTCCACAATCAATGGATGAAAAGGACGGTACTCACCACTGAGAAGAGTTTCCCGTACGTTAAAAGGCGTCTGGAGGTCATAAGGACTGATACTGTTAAGCTTAAACCTCTTGAGGTAGCCATTTTGAATATGGAATCAAAAATACACGAACTGAAGGCTGTCCTCAATCGTACTCCTTGCGATTCAAAATTACTTCAAATGCAGCTGCAAGGAGGAATAGCTACAGCTGTTAACCAGGTATACTACTAATAATTATAAAATTATATCATTTTTTTCAGGGTCCATTTGCGATTGCTAAATGTTTCCTAGAGGATGTTCCTCTACCTGAACAGGGATATCTTCATCATAAACTCAAAGTTTGCTTCAAAGAATTCACCAAACGGTACATCAAAAATCCATGCTACCAGACTATACTAAGAGTTCACATTATGTACTCTTGGTATTACTAAACTGTCTTCTCTTTTTCTCTCTTTCTTTCTTTCTCTCTTTCTCCCTCTCTTTAGTTGTCAAGAAGCTCTTGAAAGGAATGAGGAACTGATTGGTGAGGAGCAGTACGACTATCAGAGAGAACTTGTGAAGAATTTCAAGAACTTCCAGAGTCAGCTACAACCAATGGTCAGCACACAAAAGAAGATGAGTCATTCAAAGAAAGCAAGGTAAGTGAGGAAGGAGAGAGGGAAAGAGAACGGTTACTTATATGTGACTATACCATTATTGACAGAAGGTACATGTACCTTATGGCAGATAGTAAAATTTGTCTTTGTAGCCAAAAAAATCCAACTTCCTGAGCTCCATTTATCATAAAATTACTCCAGAGGATGCAAAAAGTTACTATGTAACTTCCACAAACAATGGTTATCCAACAGAGCACCCACAGGTTGATATTTTTCATTATAATGATGAATTTAGTAATCTGCCATAAGGTACACTTTTGTCAATTATGGTCGCAATACATGTA